GTTATACCTTTCCCTTAAGCCAAATATATACAAATGTATGCATTTATATATATATATAGTATATAATACACACGTGTGCACACACACACACAATCTTGATTATCCCCTGATTATTTCTTCTCTGTCCTTAAGAAGGAGAGAGAAAATTTAGGACAGGGGTTCCTGAGCTTTTTGGAACTATGGGTCCTTACACACTGCTCTTCAAGAATTACAAGCCCTGGTCAGACCCAAGGGCAGGGTCTGAAGGTAATACAGGAGTTCTGATGAAAATATGGCTACTGGACCCATGAGAATTTGCTGATAGTTCTTCAAGTCCAGCTTTCAAGAAACATAGAATAAAAAGCAAAATCCCCCCAATGTAGGGCTCTAATAGACTAACTTAGTTCAGTCCTGCTTATTCCTCACAGAACTGCAGGACTCACTAAACTGATCTGTGATTTATGGGTACTACAGTCATTTGATGATGAGGGGTAGATTAGATTTCATGTGGGGTATGTAAAACAGGCATTATAATAATTTGAGGCTCCATTGCAGGAGAATTATTTGTTAATTTTCTTCTAAAGCTTTTCCTTTTTTTGACTAGGCTTCAATCTGTGGCTATAATATAATCAAATCCATATTCTCTGGTTTGTGCCCCAATGTCCATCTCTACCAATGAAGACCTGTTATGTGCCACAGCTATGCACACGGGGCCATATGCCTGTGCATTATGGCACACTGTACTTGGACTCATTCATGAACACACAATTCAGGTGAACCAGAGCAGCCCCACTACAGGAGCACAGGTGGGTACACATTCCCTCCATCACAGTGAAACAGCTTTTCTATATGTATCAATGGCATTTGGTAGAGATTATAGTCGTTTATGGCAAGTTTCCTTGGTAGTTTCTGACAAATGTGTCCTTGCCCTGGCAGGAAACCCATCCCTAAGGCTGAAGTATACATTCTGCAGATCCCTTACCCTTGCCCAAAGGGTGCCCAGGAAAGTATCAGGGCTGAGGAAGGTATGAGGGACATAGCCATCTAGACTTACTCCGCCCTCACAAACTGTAACAGCCCTGTCAAGCTCCAGGTAGTTATTCTGTACAGCATTCTTGGAAGGCAAGTGATCTCTGAAATTCACTTAAAAAATGATTAATTAATTGGGGTGCCTAAAAATCATTAATTAGTTAAGTGTCTGACTTGCGCTTGGGTCATGATGTCATGGTTCTTGAGTTCAAGCCTTGCATCGGGCTCTGTGCTGACAGTGCAGAACCTGCTTAGGATCCTCTGTCTCTCTCTCTCTCTCTCTCTCTGCCCCTTCCCTGCTCATGACAGTGAGAAGCCTGCTTGAGATTCTCTCCCTCCCTCTCTCTCTCTCTGTTCCTTCCCTGCTCGCACTTTCTCTCTCTTAAAATAAATAAATAAATTTTAAAAAATCATTAATTATTTGTTATTGGGGTGAAATATATATAACATTTGCCATTTTAAAGAGTACAATTCAGTAGCATTAAGTATATTCATACTGTTGTACAATCATCACCACTATCCATCTCTAGAACTTTTTCATTTCCCCAAAGTGGAACTACCCATTTAATGTTCACTCCCTGTTCTACTCTACTCAAACCTTGGTATCTGTCATTCTATTTTCTGGCTATAAGCTTGACAACTCTAGGTACCTCATTTTAGTGGGATCATATAATACTCGTCCTTTTGTGTCTGGCTTTTCTCATTTAATATCTTCAAAGTTCATCTATGTTGTAGCATGTGTCAAAATTTCATATCTTTTTAGGACCCAATGATATTCCACTGTGTGTATATATCACATTCTCCTTATCCACTCATCTGTTCTTAGACATCTGGGTTGGTTCCACTTTTTGGCTATTGTGAATAATGCTGTAGGAACATGAATATATAAACATCTGTCCAAGTCTCTGCTTTCAGTTTATTTATTTATATTGAGAGAGGGAGATAGAGAGACAGAGAGAGAGGGAGAGGGAGAGAGAATGTATGGGGGAGAGGCAGTAAGGAGAGAGAGAATTCCAAGAGAGAAATCCAAGCCTGATGTAGGGCTTGATCCCACGAACCAAGAGGTCATGACTGGAGCCAAGATCAAGAGTCAGATGCTTAACTGACTGAGCCACTCAGGTGCCCCTCTCCAAGTCTCTGCTTTCAGTTCTTTTAGGTATATATCCAATGGTGGAATTGCTGGATCATGCAGTAATTCCATGTTTAATTTTTTTTTAGGAACTGTCATACTATTTGGTATATAGGTTTTTAAAATAAATAAATAAATAATAATAATAATGATCATTTTTAAATTTTTTAATGGGTATTTATTTATTGAGAGACAGAGACAGAACGTGAGTGGGGGAGGGACAGAGAAAGAGGGAGTCACAGAATCTGAAGCAGGCTCTAGGCTCTGAGCTGTCAGCACAGAACCTGATGCAGGGCTCAAACCCATGAACTGCGAGATCATGACCTGAGCTGAAGTCGGACGCTTAACTAACTGAGCCACCCAGGCACCTCAATAAATTATTTGTTAATGCAGATTTAGGTTTACAGCAAAACTGAGTGGAAAGGAGACAGGGTTCCCATACTTCTTATCCTCATACATGCACAGAACTTTTGCAGAGACACGCTAGAAAACTCATTGTCTTGAGGGCTTCACCCCAGGCTGCAGGGAGTGATTTAAGCAGGCTGTGTCAGGTCTGGCAGGAGCTTCAAGCACTGAGTCACCTAAGGCCAGTCACCTGAGGTGTCAGAGCAGCCTTCTTCCCTCCCCAGCCTGTAGTCATGAAACTGACACCAAATGTCACCGTATAGGAATACCTGATGTGTAAACATGGACACTTACAGACACCAAAGCAGGAAGGAGATTAAGGAGTGTTTGATCCAACCTACTTCTTCCATCTCATGGTGAAGATGCTTCATAAACTGAAAAGCTTGCTTCCAAGGATGCTGTGCAGAATAACTAATTAGTGCTTGACAGAGATGTTATAGTTTGTGAGGGTGGAGTAAGAAGACATAATTACATTACTTACAATTCTATCAGCCCTCTTACCAGCCATGTTCCTCTTTGGGCAGCCCCGAGAAGACAGCACTGGAATAACTCCTTACAGAACTCTTTCATCATCTATCACTTTTTTGCCTTATTTTTCTGATTCTGTGTTTTTTATTTTATTTTTTTAATTTTTTTTTAATGTTTTTATTTATTTCTAGGAGAGAGAGAGAGACAGCGTGAGCAGGGGAGGGTCAGAGAGAGAGGGAGTCACAGACTGAAACAGGCTCCAGGCTCCGAGCTGGCAGTCAGCACAGAGCCCGACGCGGGGCTCGAACCCACGAACCGCGAGATCATGACCTAAGCGAAAGTCGGACGCTTAACCGACTAAGCCACCCAGGCGCCCCCTGTGTTTTTTATTTTAAATACATGCACTTACATCTACCTTCAGGATCTCTGGATCTGCTAATGGTTAGGCAAGAGATAAGCTCCTTCATTATGTCTGCTTCAGAACTACTTTATGAACAGTGATTATTCTCAATTTCTAAGAGTTCTAATAAAAGGGCTGTATGTTCTCCTCTGAATGAACATTTACCATATCCAAGTAAAATGTTATAAATCACAATGCTTATCCACAGATTTAAAATGCCCAGAAATTTCTCATACATTTCCTGGACAGCATCACTCACACTATTTTTATGCTCACATTGACTCAATGAAACAAAAGAAAAAATGTTTAAAATTCTTACAATGAAAGCTAGAAATATACAAAATGCATATATATTCAAAGGCACATATGTACATTTGCATGTATGCTCACATATATCCAAATGTGCATTTGTTGAGCCAAAATCTTTCACGTTTTTCTATTAACATGGAATAAATTGTTCTTGTCCTCAGTGGAGAGGTGATTGGCTTGTTCCAAAGCTAATGCTGATCCTCAAAATATGTCAGTCCTGAGAACTTAAAATCCCACAAGAACCTGGACTTGATGACCTGGACTATTTATTAGAGATGTGGCTCCCTCCCCACATGTGTTTGTAAATTGAATCCCATGTAAGTGTATGAGAAGAAAGATAAAAGCAGCAATATATTTGTCAATCTGGGGGAGAAAAGATTTCCCTTTTGAGTGTATCTCAAACATGATGAGCATACGTACCTGCCAAAAGACTGTAGCTGTCATTTTAGCCTAATGGCAGCAGTCAGAGACCTTGCTGCAATCCAAGGGCAAAGGATGACCAGTACTCTAAAGCTGGTACAGAATAACAGCATCTATTTGGCTGGACTTACAAATGTGACAGTCCTAAGAGGACCTTCAAATTCTTTTCTTTTCCTTTTAAATTTTTTAATGTTTATTTATTTTTGAGAGGCGGCGAGGACAGAGACAGAAAGAGACACAGAATCCAAAGCAGGCTCCAGGCTCTGAGCCATCAGCACAAAGCCTGACGCGAGGCTCAAACCCATGAACTGTGAGATCATGACCTGAGCTGAAGTCAGACCCTTAACTGACTGAGCCACCCAGGCGCCCCACAAACTCTTCTTGGGACATGAGTCAAGATATTAAGTAAAGCACTAAATATGTTAATTTAGTGACATTTAATAGTGTACATTTAATATGTTTTTCTTCCTTTATTGTTCATCCTTTCAGTTACACGTGAATTAAAGCTGTGATTCTCAAAGTGGAGTCCCTGGACCACCTGCTTCAGCATCACCTGGCAACTTGTTAGAACAGCAACTTCCCAGCCTGCCCCAAATCTACTGAATCAGAAATTCTGGGCACGAGGCCCAGCAACTGTACTTTAACAGGCCCTCTAGGTGATTCTGGTGCAAGTTAAAGACCCACTGCATTAAGGAGGCACCAATAGGAAGATTTTAATCCCTTCCTCAGCCATAATTTTCAACATACTTTGTTAAAAGAAAAGTAACCCATGTGGGTTTAAGCTAGTTGTTATTATCATCTAAGAAAATTCATACCATTATTTGGTTTGAGGAAAGAAACCTCAGTCACAACTTACATGTAATTTTTCCAGGCTCTGTGCTGGCTTCGAGTCTTAGGATGCAGGGAACCGGGCGAAGGGAGAGATGAGAAGACTCCAGCAATCCATTCAGACATGGACCCCAAAGCTTTGCAGGGCAACCTTGTGACAGGTCAGTGAGTGTCCACCTGAATGGGGGGGGGAGGGGAAGAGCTGTCCATTAGCAGAGTAAACCTCTCGAGTTAACGTTTCTCCCTCCCCTCCTGACTTACGGGGCCTCTGGCTGTTTGCCTTTTGACTGCTCCACATAAACAGAACACGATAAAATGGCCCATGGTAATAATGCCTGAGCTCCACCCACGGGGAAGCCCTGCTAGGTGAGTATTTCCTTAGGTGAGCATTCCTCACTGGGCGTCCTTTCAAACCTAAAGGCAGTTTGGAGACCAATGTCCAATCTCACGAATATTTTCTTTCAACAAATGAGAACACCTTGGCTTAAAAGACACATGGGGATGCAGTAACAGGAAGATATAGGAAGCAAAGGACAAATTCGGGAATTCTAACTGAAATGAGATGCTTCTCTGATGCCTTAAATATGTTTATTAAATATGTAATATTTAAAATTTTTATTTTATTTATTAAAAACTTTTTTAGAGAGAGAGCATGAGTGAGGAAGAGGGGCAGAGGGAGAGGAGAGAGAGAGAGAGAGAGAATTTTAAGCAAGTTCCATGCTCAGTATGGAGCCTGATGTGGGGCTTGATCCCACAACCCTGGGATCATGATCTAAGCCAAAATCAAGAGTCAGACGCTTAACCAACTGAGCCACCCAGGCATCCCTAAATGTATTTATTTTTAAGACTTTTGTTTCTGATGCTAAAATGATACATGCTTATTGTAGAACACTTGGAAAATATGGAAAAGTGTAAAGAAAATAATACCTAAACACAGACTTTTAACTAGTGGGAATAAAGGAGAGGGAAGGTAGGTGGGGTGGGGGGTGGGGGGTGAAAATAGGTGATGGGGATCAAGGAGTGCACTTGCTGTGATGAGCAACCAGTGATGCATGGAAGTGTTGAATCACTATGCTGTACACCTGAAACTCAGAGAGCACTGTATATTAACTAACTGGAATTAAAATAAAATAAAGAAAAAAACAGATCAATTGTTACCCTGGCACTAATAAATCACTAATGATATTTTGTTGTATAATTCCATAACCTCTTAACCGAAACTCCTCAGCTTCAGTATATGTTCCAGAATCCAGAATTGTTCGGTTTTTAAAAACTGTTTTGATGCAACTATGATTTATCACATAATATTCCATCAGGGTCTGGAGCAGCACCCCATAATCTGACATATTTCATAATATTTCTGTAGCAAAACCAATGCATAATTCTTATTAAGTTGGATAAAACAGAATCTCACATTGGTTCAGGCCAGGTTTTTCTACCAAAGAAGTTACCAAGAAACCCTTTTGATTTTAGAATACTTTTGGATTCATAATTGGGGGTAAAAGATTGCAGACCAGTATTCTTTTCAGATACAGAAAAAACTCAAGTTTTGTTTCTACTTTTCATTCAGTGTTATACAAATGTGAGCCTTTCCCCAAGTAAAAACACTTCAAAACCATGCTTTTCAATGCCTATGCAATATTATATTCCACTTAGAAAAGGTTTTTTTTTTTTTTTACGATTTAACTTTGAGAATTACATTTTTTGCTGCTGTTAATGAAAATAACACTTTGAGGGACATATTTGAGTATCAGATTGTCTGAATTTCTGAATACTTTCTTAGGTGGATTCTAGAAAAATAATTATTGGGTCAACCAGTGTAAACTTTAAGGGTCTTGATGATTTTCCAGAAAAGCTATACCAATTTACACTCCTAACACAGCATGAATGCCTGGTTAATTTGTTTAACTACCCACATTATCATAGGCAAGGAAAAAATACACTTGCATCTCATACATCTTAACAAAGCTCTAATCAATGATAATCATACTTAGGAAATTTTATTTTTGTTTTTCTTACACAGAAGATAGTGAATAGCTCACAGTCTTTCACACAACAAAAGAGAAATGGGATTAATGTGAGTTTACCATCAACTGGAACCTCATTAGACCAGACTGAGTCAGATTTGGGCAAAAGAGAGGCTGTCACTTGTCCATGGAGTCCTAAGTTTGAAAGAGGTAGGAGGGTGGGTATGGAAATAATTCATACATCATCACGAGAAGACAGACAATCAGATGCTAATTATTTCTGGGATGATAAATTTTGCTTCCAGGCTACTGAGGACTTGTGTTTCCCTTCCTCTTGGTGCTACTTAGCATGGCTATCAGAGAGCAGAAAGAGATGTGAAGACAAAGTCAAATCAGATGAGTTAATAATAATAATGGCTAACCCTTATAAGTGTTCCCGATGAGCACCTTGTGTTCATTACCTCATTCAGTGTGCACTGGTATTAAAACTGGTAGCTGTAAAGTTTCAAAGTATGTGCTCACTCATCAATCACCATTGACCCTAATAGGTCTGGAGGAATTAGAAGTTTGGAATTTCAAAGAGCTATTCAAACCTACTGTCTTATTACCAAGGCTCCAAGTCTGGTTATAAACCACAGACTTTGGGGCACCTGGGTGGCTCAGTTGGTTAAGCGTCTGACTTTGGCTCGGGTCATGATCTCAAGGTTCATGGGTTCAAGCCCCGCGTTAGGCTCTGTGCTGACAGCTAGCTCAGAGCCTGGAGCCTATTTCAGATTCTGTGTCTCCCTGTCTCTCTGACCCTCCCCTGTTCATGCTCTCTCTCTCTCTCAGAAATAAATAAAATATAAAAAAATTAAAACAAAAACAAAAACAAAAAAAAAACCGCCACATTTTTTTGGTCAGCACCTTGTCTAGCATCTGCACAAAGCAGGGAAAATGATATAAATAAAATCCAAGAAAACTTTAGATAATAAAAAAATGCTTTGAAAGTCCTATAATTACAGGAGAGAGGCTGTATCTCTTAGAGTACAATAGGGAGTTGGGAGTCTGTTATATAACACAAAACAGTGTATACACAGAGAAGACCTGAAGATACACACACAATATATACTGAAAAAAAAAAAAAAAAAAAAAAAAAAAACACACACACAGACACATTCTTCCCAAATGTGACTGGTATATAAATTGGTAATGATAAAGTCAGGTCACATAACCCCAAGTTCCTTTTCATTTACAGTTTTGTCTAATAATTCTTCTTTCTCTTTTCCCTTTCTCCTTATAGGATAGTTGGTGTAGAGAATGCCACAATTTTTATATGCTAGTAAAAAAAATTGAAGAGATACTTCTTTGTTATATGATATGAAATAACACTATTCTTTTCCTTGTCTATAAAGTTAGTTTCTGCATAGTAGAATATATTATATACTGTAAAATGGCTAGGGTGCAGAAAAAGAGAGGGAGGGAGGGAGGGAAGGAGAAAGAAAGAAAGAAAAGGAGAGAGGGAGAGAGAGAAAAAAGAAAGAAATTAAGAAAGAAGTTAAGGAAGGAAGAAATTAAGAAAGAAGTTAAGAAAGAAAGAGAGAAGAGAGAGAGAGAGAGAGAGAGAGAGAGAGAAAGAAAGAAAGAAAGAAAGAAAGAAAGAAAGAAAGGAAAGAAAGAAAGAAAGAAAGAAAAAGAAAGAGAAAGAAGCAAACAAAGAAAGAAAGGAAAAAATTCCATTTTATTTTGGGGGTGATTTGAGTTGATCTTCATAATAATCTTATCTAAAAGTAAAGAATGTTTCTATCAAAATTATCAAAAGACCAAAAGACAAAAGATGTATCAAGAAGTGAATCATTTCCTTCACTGTGGCTTCTCTTTATAATTTAAATAACATTCTCCTGACAATTAGGTGTCAAGTAAGTAGACTGGCTCCAAAATGATTTTTCTTTGCCACAGTCATATATGTGGTTAATTTTCTAAGTATGCCAGGACTATAGGGTGTGAAAAATAAAGCAGTAATAGAGGAAATGACCCCTCAAAGAACATATTTTGTTTTTTCCAAAATGCCTAATTGCTTGGGGGAAAATACAAAAAATAAAATAAACTACCACTAATAACAGAAATGATTACCAGAAGCTCTTTATATACTCAAACTGCACAACTAGCATTTCTGAAGCTAATTACAAATTTGGATTCTCTTATTTTAAAAATACACTTCGAAGCAACCCACTTCTGTTTTAATGCTGAACCAAAGTCTGTGCAATTGGCACGTTATCAAAGTAAAAAAAATGAGTTGCTTGAACAAAGTTACCACTTTCAATGTCACTAAATCTTAAACTGCAAAATACCACAAGCTAAAAACTAGTAATACCATGTGGTTATGTTATCTTACATTTACAAAAGAGCTTATAGTTTCCCAAGCCCTAAGGGGCTGAGGACCTTCATGATCACAGCAGCTTTGTTACCTTGGGGAGGTCATTCACTGCCTCTGAGCCTAACACCTTTCACAGGCTCTTGTGAGAATTAAATAGATTAAATGAGAAAGTATACAAAAGGGTTTTTACAAACTATAGAACAAAATAACATTATTCTTTTTATTAACAACTCTGTGAGGCATAAAGATATCCATCCCCATTTCACGGTTAAGGAAACTAACTGCTGGAAGATAAGGAAAACATAAATAAATAAAGGACCAAGTTAGAGAAGATTCTCAGGTTTTATCTCTAATTGGCCACAAACTACCTGGTGAGTCTGTGACCTCTTTCTTTAGTAACAATGTATACGTAGGATGAGATGATTTTAAGGTTTTCTTGAGGCCAATGGTTCTGTAATCTGGGACTTGGCCATGGTGGTGATAAGGCAGCCCTAATAAAAAACTGGGAGCAGACTCTCCTGAAGGCCAAGTGCAGCATCCACTGATCTGAGGCCTCCAGAGCTGGCGTGGGGGTTCCTGAGCAGTCTCCCACTCCCAGGGATGGGACTGACATAAGCAAAGTCATTTTGCTGGATTAAGGTAAGGGGAGGTTGAATGGCCAGGGCCTCTTGGGAGGTACTGGAGGAGCTCCTTACTTTTTTAAATTATTTTTTTATGTTTTAATTTTTTGGGGGGGATGTATCTAAAAATAGATACATTTTTATTTTAATTTTTAATTTGGTTTTCATTTCTAAAAGTAGGCTTTATTTCTCTATTAAGAACAGTTTTTTTTTTAATTGTAGCAGAGTACCTAT